TCACCTCCCTGGGCCCGCTCGTTCCCTCGACGCCGCATCCTGCTCCTCCTCTCGAGAGAGATCAGGGAGCTGCCTCTCAGAGTAGGAAGTTAACGCCATGTAAGGCTCGCCGCGTCCAGGGGCTCGTGGGTGAACAGCTTTCTGAGGCCTTGAGAAATCGCACGAGTAGGAGCCGCCGCGCCAGTAACCGGGAGGAGCCACGTCGTCCCGGGGTCTAGGCTGTCCGTTCCCCCGGGAGACGTCAGCGCCGCCTCTCGGGGGGATCGGGAGGTCCTCGGGGGGGTCGGAGGTTCCTCGGGGGGGGGAGGTCGGGAGGTCCTCGGGGGATCGGGAGGTCTCTCGGCCTCGGGGGTCGGAGGTCCTCGGGGGGATCGGGAGGTCCTCGGGGGATCGAAGGTCCTCGGGGGAGGTCCTCGGGGGGTCGGGAGGTCCTCGGGGGGATCGGGAGGTTCCTCGGGGGGATCGGGGTCCCTCGGGGGGGATCGGGAGGTCCCGGAGGTCCTCGGGGGGATCGGGAGGTCCTCGGGGGGATCGGGAGGTCCTCGGGGGGATCGGAGGTCCTCGGGGGATCGGAGGTCTCGGGGGGGATCGGGATCGTCCTCGGGGGGATCGGTCCTCGGGGGGAGTCCTCGGGGGGGGTCCTCGGGGGGGGAGGTATCGGAGGTCCTCGGGGGGATCGGAGAGGTCCTCGGGGGATCGGGAGGTCCTCGGGGGATCGGTCCTCGGGGGGGGGTCGGGAGGTCCTCGGGGGGGATCGGGAGGTCCTCGGGGGGGGAGGTCCTCGGGGGTCGGAAGGTCCTCGGGGGGATCGGAAGGTCCTCGGGGGATCGGGAGGTCCTCGGGGGGGATCGGAGGTCCTCGGGGGGTCGGAGGTCCTCGGGGATCGGGAGGTCCTCGGGGGTGAGGTCCCGGGGGATCGGGAGGTCTCGGGGGTTCGGGAGGCCTCGGGGGGGGATCGGAGGTCCTCGGGGGATCGGGAGGTCCCTCGGGGGGTCGGGAGGTCCTCGGGGGATCGGAGGGGATCGGGGGATCGGGAGGTCCTCGGGGGGATCGGGGTCCTCGGGGGATCGGGAGGTCCTCGGGGATCGGGAGGGTCCTCGGGGGGGGGTCGGGAGGTCCTCGGGGGATCGGGAGGTCCTCGGGGGGATCGGCCTCGGGGGGAGGTCCTCGGGGGTCGGGAGGTCCTCGGGGGGATCGGGAGGTCCTCGGGGGGGTCGGGGTCGGGAGGTCCTCGGGGGGTTCGGGAGGTCCTCGGGGGGATCGGGGGTCCTCAGGGGGATCGGGGGGTCCTCGGGGGGGATCCGGGAGGAGGTCCTCGGGGGGATCGGGATCGGGGAGAGGTCTCGGGGGGGATCGGAAGGTCCTCGGGAGGGATCGGGGATCGGGGGTCGGGGTCGGGGTCCTCGGGGGGGTCGGAGGTCCTCGGGGATCGGAGGTCTCGGGCGGGGATCGGAGGTCCTCGGGGGGATCGGGAGTCCCTCGGGGGGATCGGAGGTCCTCGGGGGGTCGGAGGTCCTCGGGGGATCGGGAGGTCCTCGGGGGGATCGGAGGTCCTCGGGGGGGGATCGGGAGGGTCCTCGGGGGGGATCGGGAGGTCCTCGGGGGGGGTCGGGAGGAGGTCTCGGGGGGGTCGGGGGTCCTCGGGGGGGATCGGAAGGTCCTCGGGGGGGGATCGGGAGGTCCTCGGGGGGGTCGGGAGGTCCTCGGGGGGGATCGGGGGGTCCTCGGGGCGCCGTGGCCGACTGGGTAGCTGGGAGACGATAGCCTGCCCCGAGGTAGTCCAGGGCGCCGCGCTACCTGGGGGAGGAGACAGGAATCCACATGATAAGAGAAAGAGAGACAGAGACAGACAGACAGAGAGAGACAGAGAGACAGAGACAGAGGACAGAGAGAGACAGAGACAGAGAGACAGAGACAGAGAGAGAGAAGAGGGAGACAGAGAGAGAGAGAGACAGAGACAGACAGACAGAGAGAGAGATAAACCAGACGTCATGAAAACAACATGCACAGGAAACGAGTTGTAATATTCACACCATCACCCCGCCCTCAAGAGCCCCTCCAGCACTAGAACAGCAATACTACTAGACAAAAAAAAAACATGACAACACCACTCTTAAAACACCCTTAAAAGAGGACAGACACAGCTCGCAGGGAACACCACACTAAAACACCGGGGAAACTAAACATCTTTTTGGGAACTTCAACGGCAGGAGGGGAGCGCTAGTGACAGCCGGACCCCCTCCCTCCCCCCCCATACCCCTCTTCTGCTTGTTTTCTTTCTCCTTCTTTTCTTCTTCTTTTCCTTTTTTCTTTCTTTTTCCTTCTTCTTTCCTCCTCTTCCTTCCTCCTCCACCGCCTTCCTCCTCCTCCTCCTCCACCCCCTTCCTCCTCCACCACCCTCCACCCCCTCCTCCACCACCCCCTCCTCCTCCTCCCCCCCCCCCTCCTCCTCCACCACCCCCTCCCTCCTCCACCCCCTCCTCCACCACCCCTCCTCCTC